TGTTGCCCTGTTGATATTTAGCTCTGTTGACTAATGAGTTTGCCAACCCTTGGGTTGGAGTATTTCCCAATATGCCAAGGTTGTGGGTTCAGTCCCCAGTCAGGGTACATACAAGAAGCAGCCAATGAATGAATACAAAAATAAATGGGACAACAAATCTTTCTATCTCTCTCTGTCTGTCTGCCTCTCTCTCAAAAGTCAATAAAATAGAACAATCCTTTCTTTTGTTAATAGCCCCCTTGCCCCACCCTTCTTCCTATAAAACTTTCCACACACACACACACACACACACACACACACACACACACATTTTTTTTTTTTCAGAGAGGAAGGGAGAGGGAGAGAAAGATAGAAACACAGACGATGAGATAGAATCATTGATTAGTTTCATCCTACATGCCTCCTACTGGAGATGAAGCCCGCAACCCGGGCATATGCCCTGACCAGGATTCCAACCATGACCTCTTGGTTCATAGGTCGACGCTCAACCACTGAGCCACACCAGCCAGACAAAACTTCCCATTTTTTACAACTCCTTGGAGCACCCTTCTACTGGTTAGATGGGATGCTGAGGATTCATGAATTGCTTAATAAAGCCAATTAGATCTTTACATTTACTCAGTTGATTTTTTTAAATCAGGTAACACATGTATTCATGTAAACCATCATCACAGACTGACATTTAGTAAGCATCTAACCTGTGTATGAAAAACATCAGGAATATATGCTAGTTCCCCAACTCTAGCTTGCTTTTTTTCATTTACCTTTATATCATGCATATGTGCTTATGTCTTCCAATATTATTGTTAAAAATGATTTGATGGCTATATAATATTACACTCAATGGTGAAGTTCAATGAGTGAACCCCTCCCCAACATTGGACATGAGAGATTCCCTTTGCCATGCTGCACAGACTATCTTTTTATTATTGTTTTGTTGTTTATCCGCAAAATCAAGGATATTTGTCCATTGATTTTTAGGGAGTGTGGAAGAGAGAGGAGAGACAGGGAGAAACATTGATGTGAGAGAAACACATCGATTGGTTGCCTCCTGCACAAGCCCTGACCAGGGCCCAGGCCAGGGAGAAGCCTGCAACCAAGGTACGTGCCCTTGACAGGAATTGAACTCTGGACCCTTCTGTCCACAGGCTGTCACTCTATCCACTGAGCCAAACCGGTTACGGCCGTAGACTATCTTTGTAAAGAGTTTGCCACATCACTGATCATTTCTTTAACAAGAGATTTTATAAGTGGAATTTCCATATCAAAAGATCAGACCTTTAACTATTATTAATAAGGTGCCATAATTTTCCTGTGCTTTCTGGCCTTTTGTATTGGGTCTATTGAAAAACTTGTCCACATCTCTTCTTTAAAGAGACATACCAACTTCTCCTTTTTTTGTAAGTAGTAAGATATCATAATGGATATTCAATGAGTTCACTGAGTGTTGGCTGGGTAACTGCTAGGCTTGGTCCCGGCATGGCTTCCAGAGTCAGGTGCCCAGTCAAGACCAGTCAAGCTCCACCAGGGCTTGGAGCTCTCCATCAGTGCCTCAAAGCTGCTTCTCAACCTGAAGCCTCAGCACGATGCTTGACCTGTAGTTAAGTCAGTGGTCGGCAAACTGCAGCTCATGAGCCACATGCGGCTCTTTGGCCCCTTGAGTGTGGCTCTTCCACAAAATACCACGGCCTGGGCAAGTCTATTTAGAAGAAGTGGCCTTAGAAGAAGTTTAAATTTAAACAATGTGGCTCTCCAAAAAAATTTCAATCGTTCTGCTGTTGGTATTTGGCTCTGGTGACTAATGAGTTTGCCGACCACTGTAGTAAGTGGTCAACAAATATGAGCTGTCTTTTTAAAAATATATATTTTTATTGATTTCAGAGAGGAAGGGAGAGGGAGAGAGAAACATCAATGATGAGAGAGAATCCTGGATCACCTGCCTCCTGCATGACACCCCCCCTCCGCCCCCCGGGGATTGAGCCCACAACTCGGGCATGTGCCTGGATCTGGAATCAAACTGTGACCTCCTGGTTCATAGGTCAATGCTCAACCACTGAGCTACGCTGGCTAGACCAAACATGAGCTGTCTATCAATCCTCCATCCCTCAAGGGGCAAGGGCTGATGTGGGCATGGGTGTGCATAAAAATAGCCACCTGAGCTTCTAGGAAATGAAACTATAAGCAGTTGTCTCCTCTGTAACATAATAAACCCGGGTTAACTCTTCATTAGACCTCAGACCTCAGTGAGCCCTGGCGCCCACATTCAGAACTCCGGGCGGAGAGGGCTCCTGGTGAGTGTATTCTATCACATCTAACTCGGGTGACAGAATCACTTCAGAAAAAGGCCACTGAGGTGTTTTTCTGATAATACTCAGACCTAATGACTCACACTGCTTGCAAAAGACTTGAGCCTATACACTGAGTAGCCAGATTATGATTATCTCTGAACACATAATCATCTGGCCATTCAGTGTATATCCTATAGAATAAAAGGTTAATATGCAAATTGCCCCCTTGAGTAGGAGTTCAACCAGCGGGCAAGCCGGTGAACCGCCCATGTCCCTTCCCCCTGGCCAGGCTGGCTGGACCCCACCCATGCACGAATTCATGTACTGGGCCTCCAACATATATATATATACTGAGTGGCCAGATTATGATGTGTTCAGAGATCATAATAATCAGGCCACTCAGTGTACACTGTTATTTGAGCTGCACACTGGCCCTAAATGGCAACTGGAAAGGCATTATATTGCTCATTTGATAAGCAGAGAAACAGTTTCAGAGGGCTCAGGGCAGGAGGGGGGAACAGGTCCCCCAGCTGGCAACTGAGTCAGTCGGCACTGAGAGAGGCTCACTGGGCAAACTTGTATCAGGCTCCTCTGAGCCACCAGACCTTGACTTTGGGGCATCTGAGTCCATCTGCCCAGTTTTCACGAGATTCCTGCTAAACCAGCTTAGTGAGAACTCCTCAACCTGACATCTGGTCAACCTTGCTGTCTGATCCCACCGCATCCCTGCCCCCTCCTGGGTGATAACTGGTCCCTGGCCTGCCCTCAGCAAGGGCCCTGGCCACAAAGTTTATCCCATGTGTCCCATACCCTGATGTTTCCTCCTAGTATTAATACTTTTCCATCCAGCGAGCCTCACTCTGCTCCTTGCCTGTAACCCCCCCTCACTTGCTGGCTTTGGAAGGGAGCCCAATTCTATGCCAAGTTCTCTGTTCCCCTCTCGCCACAGTCCCTGGACAAAGTCTGTGTTCAAAGCTTTAACTACTGGCCAGCTCTGGTTTTCTTTTCTTATTTTTCAGCCTATTTTTTTAAATCCTCACCTGAGGATATTTTTGTTGTTGTTGCTTTTCAGAGAGAACAGAAGGGAGGGAGAGAGGGAGAGAAGGAGAGAGAGAGAGAGAGAGAGAGAGAGAGAGAGAGAGAGAGAGAGAGATTGATATGAGATAGACACATCAATTGGCTGCCTTCTGTACTCACCCCAACCTGGGCTGGGATTGAACCTGCAACCCAGGCACGTGCCCTTGACCCTTGACTGAGAAATGAACCTGCAACCCCTCAGTGAGCAGGCCAACGCTCTAACCACTGAGCAACCCTGACCAGGGCTCAAATCCACTTTGGTTTTCCTCCTTACTCTTCACCCATAGAACTTCTCCACACACCCTTTTTTTGCAGCTACCAACCCACTTCATATTGACCAGGCATCATTGTATCCTTAAGGCGCTGCTGGCATCAAAATATGACAGCTAACCCATGTGACACCTAGAACATGCTCGCACAGCGCAGTACACGCAGCTTTACAGCGTGGCACTGAAACGGCTCAAAGGGGACAAGACCCCCCTTCTCCGTGCTCAGAGGCAGGTGCTCCCAGACCTGCCTGGTGACTATATGGAAGGCAGTTACCTCAGACCACAGTGAACGCTGCGATCAGGGAGCCTGCTCTGATGGGACCCCAGTGTCATGTACCCTCCCCCCCACACACACACACCTCTCTCTCAGATGCACTCATCATTCTAGAAAGTCAGGTCCAGCTGATACAAAATGATTGCACAAGCCTTAGCCGGTTTGGCTCAGAGGATAGAGCGTTGGCTTGCAGACTGAAGGGTCCCGGGTTCCATTACAGTCAAGGGCATAGGCCCGGGTTGCGGGCTCGATCCCTGGTAGGAGGCATGCAGGAGGCAGCCAATCCATGGTTCTCTCTCATCATTGATGTTTCCCTCTGTCTTCCTTTCCCTTCCTCTCTGAAATCAATAAAAAATATATAAATACAGAATGAAGACACACAGCCTGTATCTTGGGGAGAGAGTTGACCCCCTACCACTCATGCACTGTGATTTCAAACATAACTCCTCCTAAAAGCCATGACCAGCATGATTTCTCAGGCTGGGTGACCCAGCAATCTCACATGGGACTGTTCCTTCTTCAGGGATGCGGCCCAGCCGCCACCCTGCTTTCCCTAGACAGCACGCCTGCTCTCCAGCCTGGTCCCACGTGAGCCCCGATAATGTGCTCGCTCCGGGGACACCAGAGGTCGGGACAGCACACAGTAACCTCAGCCATCTGTGTGGCTTTAAAGCCAAACCCTAGGGCCCGGCCGGCGTGGTTCAGTGGTTGAGCGTCGACCTATGAACCAGGAGGTCACAGTTCAATTCCCGGTCATGGCTCATGCCAGGATTGCAGGTGGTTGATCAATACTTCTCTCCCTCTTCCTTCCTCTCTGAAATCCATAACAATCTACACAGATGATGAAAAAAAAAATTGAACCCAGAGAAGCTGTTTTCCCAACGCAAACGTCTGTCTCTCCTTGGACAGAGCAAGTGTTGATTAATCTGAAATTATGACACGCTTCTTATTGATGATGAAATATCACTGAGAACTTTCCCCCAGCAAATAGCCAAAGTGAAGATTCCCCCCTGTGGCTCCTGCCAGCTGATTTCAGCTCTTCCCACAGAGATGGAAGGTAACACTTTTTAGGGATCTCCAAGTTCTGCTTACCATGTTTAGTCTTCTTCCAGAGGAAGAACAGACATCTGGTTGAAGAGAGCAGGCCACGAGAGGTGTCCAGATCAGCCTGAGATGTGCCGCATAGCATCAACTACAAGAAAGAGAAAACACCACACCATGCCCTGAAAATGCCAGCCTGGCACTGCCGCCTCAAACACTGCTTCACGATGTGCTATGGGAGTCTTCTGAATGGCATTGACTTCCTCCAAGTCCCGCAGATCAGAGACAAACTCCAGAGACACCCCCCCCCCCATGTCTGACATTATGAGAAGTCTGATTTCTCTCTGAAGAAATGATCTTTTTGGGAAGATCAGTCTGAAGAACCGAGATTGCTCTTTCAGTTCTACAACAAATGGTCTGGCCTAGGACTGGGGTTCACGGTCCTCCCCGCTCCCCGAGAATGAATGGCTCCTCTATCCAGTTACTTAAAGGATCCCCAAGTTTCCCATACCTTTCTTGGTTGCATGGAGCAGGTCCCCGTCTGGAGCCTTCTGAGCTGAAGAGGAACAGAAGGTGGAAAATCACAGACCTGGACTTCCCAAGTACAAAGACAAGGTTGGTGGGGAGGGGGAGGAGCATGACTATTCGAGCCACCCCAGACATGAGATTTGCAGAAATACCAGGTTCCTCTTATTTCCACCTCCATAACTGGGGTGACGTTGTCTCTAAATCTGCACATCCTGGGGGACTGATCATTCTTCTTCTTTTTAAAAATAATTTATATTTAAAATCCTTTCTGCTGCTTCTTTTTTAAAAGACATGTTTATTGTTTCAGAGAGGAGGGGAGAGGGAGAGACAGCAATGATGAGAGAGAATCACTGATCGGTTGCCTCCTGCATGTCCCCAGCCAGGGATTGAGCCAGAAACCCGGGCATGTGCCCTTGACCGGAATTGAACCCGGGACCCTTCAGTCAGCAGGCCAAAGTTCAATCCACTGAGCCAAACCGACCAGGGCTGATCATTCTTTTTTACAGTAGTTTCTCACCCTCAGTGCTACTGGCATTTTCTTTTTCTTTTTTTTCTTTTTTTAATATATTTTATTGATTTTTTACAGAGAGGAAGGGAGAGAGATAGAGAGCCAGAAATGTCAATGAGAGAGAAACATTGACCAGCCGCCTCCTGCACAACTCCTACTGGGGATGTGCCCACAGCCAACGTACATGACCTTGACAGAAATCGAACCCGGGACCTTTCAGACCGCAGACCGACGCTCTACCACTGAGCCAAACCTGTTTCAGCGCTACTGGCATTTTCTGAGAGACTCTCTGTGGCATTGTAAGATGCTTAGTGGCATCTCTAACTAGTCCCATTAAATCAGTGGTTCTCAACCTTCATAATGCTGCAACCCTTTAATCCAGTTCCTCGTGTTGTGGTGACCCCCAACCGTAACATTACCTTCATTGCTACTTCATAACTGTAATTGTGCTACTGTTAATGAATCGTAAGGTAAATATCTGTGTTTTCCGGTGGTCTTAGGCGACCCTGCTAGTGGTTCTCAACCTGTGGGTCAACCTGTCTGCTGTAGAGTCTAAGACCTTCAGAAAACACAGATATCTACATCATGATTCATAACAGTAGCAAAATCACAGTTATGAAGTAGCAAGGAAAATTATGTTATGGTTGGGGGTCACCACCACATGAGGAGCTGTATTAAAGGGCCGCGGCATTAGGAAGGATGAGAGCCACTGCAGTAGATGCAGTAGCATGACCCCTTCCAGCTGTAATAACCACAGATGTCTCCAGATATTGCACAACAGCCCGGGGGAGGGGGGAGGGGCAAAAGCGCCCACATTGAAAACCACTGTTCCGTAGCTACCTCAGAGATGTTCCAATTGACCTGGTGGGGTTGCACACCCACCCGAAAGGAACTCTGGGTTCTAAGCAGGTGCAAAGCTTCCAGTGAGTTCCATCGCCAGTTAGAGATGGCCAGCTGTGCTTGCAGTCTGCTGTCACCAAAAGCCTTGCTTCTCGAAGTGGGGTCCCCAAGGGATTGTTCCCTTCCTCACTGCTTACTGGGCCTTTTGTAGGTAGAGTCAAAATACCCAGTACTAGTCCTGGTCAGCTTGGCTCAGTGGATAGAGCATCGGCCTGGGGACTGAATGGTCCCGGGTTTGATTCTGGTCAGGGACACATGCCCAGGTTGCAGGCTTGATCCCTAGTGTGGGGCGTGCAGAAGGCAGCCATCAATGATGCTCTCTCATCATTGATGTTTCTGTTTCTCTCTTCCTCTCCCTTCCTCTCTGAAATTAATAAAAATGTATTTTAAAAAAAGACCCAGGTCTGTTTGAAATCCTTCACCCAGTCCCGTGGTCGGCAAACTGCAGCTCACAAGCCACATGCAGCACTTTGGCTCCTTGAGTGTGGCTCTTCCACAAAATACCATGGCCTGGGCGAGTCTATTTGGAAGAAGCGGTCTTAGAAGAAGTTTAAGTTTAAAAAATGTGACTCTCCAAAGAACTTTCAATCGTTGTACAGATGCTATTTGGCTCTGTTGACTAATGAGTTTGCCGACCACTGGCCCAGTCCCTCTGGGGAGAATTTGCAAAATGCAGTCTGGCTTGGGAAATCAGCTGATAATGATCAGGGTCAATATGCTGAATGGAAAAGCCCCAAATCAGCTGAAAGTATTAGGTATAATAATAATAATAATAATAATAATAATAATGTGTGATCTTTCCCAAGGATTTGTTATGAGGCAGACACTGTTTTAACTGCTTCATATGTATTATCTCCTTAAATACTAAAAAACTATAATGTATTATCCCCCCCACCATCACTTTTTTTTTTTTTTTTTTTTTTTTTTACCAAAATGATGGAATGAATGCAGGAAAGATAATGGACATTCCCCAGGCCCCATATGACATTCACACAGACAGTAAAAATCAAACGCCTTCTTAGCAAAGCAGTTGGCTACACAAACCATTTGTCAAAATCAGCAGTCTTCTTGCATATAAACAGTCATTGATCCAGATTGGTCATGGGACGGGCCCCATTCCAAGCAGTAACAAAGCTCTGAAATACTTGGGAAGAAAACTGACATGACATGGTGGGAAGGAAGGGCGTGGGGGCAGCGTGGGGGGGCTGATACTTCACCTAGAGGCTGTGTGCGGGCCATTTCCCCTCCAGATCCACTCTGTAGGCCTTCCGGCCCTGCTCTGTGACCCTGGAGGCTGAGCTGTAAGAACTTCACCAACAGCTTCCTGTTGGGTCCGAGTATGTAACTCCTTGGCTCCCGCCCCTACATCCCATGACCCCGTGCTAGCTGTGGGTTGGCTGCGACCCACTAATGAAACTCTTTTCAGCTGATGCCCTCCAATGGCTACTCTTCCCAAATTCCACTAATTACCCCTTCCCTCTGCCATTTGAGCTCTGGTGTTGTAAGGACCCCCACCCCCACCCGCCCTCGAACTGCTGTAGCATCCTTTCTGATTTCCCTAAATCCTGTCCACTGTCACTAACAGTCACTTTGCTAAATTTGTCAATTTCTTACTTGATTGTGCTGCCTGTTTCCTACCAGGACCCTGGAGGATGCAATAAAGACGTAAATAAATGAAGGGAAATACACTGAGGGGCCAGATGATGATGATCTCTGAACACATAATAATCCGGCCATTCAGTGTATATAGAATAAAAGGCTAATATGCAAACGGTCCCCTTGACCAGTAGTTCGACCAGCAGGCAGGCCAGCCAACCGCCCATGTCCCCTCCCACTGGCCAGGCTGGCAGGACCTCACCCATGAACGAATTCATGCACCAGGCCTCTATTCAGAGATCATAATAATCTGGCCACTTAGTGTATATCGTTATCAGGGCTGAAGGGCACAACACTGTAAAAAATAAAAATTTTAGCCAGGTTGGCATGGCTCAGTGGTTGAGCATTGATCTATGAAACAGGAGGTCACGGTTTGATTCCCAAACAGGGCACATGCCCAAGTTGTGGGTTTCATCTCCAGTGTGGGGCTTGCAGGAGGCAGCCAATCTATGATTCTCTGTCATCATTGATGTTTCTATCTCTCCCTCTCCCTCTCTGAAATCAATAAAAATACACTTAAAAAAATCTAAATGCAGACATTCAACATTAAAAGTACTAGAAGAAACCTCTCTTTATATAAAAACTTTTTAAATGTGTGATCTCCCCCCCCCCCCCAAAAGGTGACTTTAAGTGCTGTGGTGAAAATGTTCTAAATGGCAGGCCTTTATGTCCAGGTATGTGCTGGATTGTTCTATATGGACAAAGAGGGACACATTCTTCTAGGACAAAACCCTAAGATTTTGAAACATTACTGTGTAAAAGCTGAAAAAGGGTGGTTTTTTTTTTGGGGGGGGGGGGAACTAACGCTGCTATTTAAAAGCGACAAGAATTTGGTCTCCTTATAGATTAAGGCAGTGAAATGTGTTACATTCTTTGCTCCTTTCATTTCTCTCTCTGTCTCACTCTCTGTTTCTATTTCTCTCTCTGAAAGCATTTCAAATGGGCCTTTTAGTATGGAAAATAACGAGTGAAGGACTTTCATTTTTCTTTTCTTTTCATAGATAATAATGTGGTGTAGATAGATATAGATAATAATAGATGATAGATAGACAATAGATTAGATGATAGATAGATAGATGATAGATATAGATAGATGATAGATAGATGATATAGATAGATGATAGGTGATAGATAGGGATAGATAATAGTAGATTATCAATAGATAGATAGATAGATGATAGATAGATATAGATAGATGATAGATAGATAGATGATATAGATAGATAGATATAGATAGATGATAGATAGATAGATAGATTGATAGATAGATAGATAGATAATAGATGATAGAGAGATAGACAGAGATAGAGATAGCTAATAGTTGATGCCCGGAAGCATCCCTCGTTTAGTGATTTCACTAGGGAGACTCCCAGCTGTGACTCATCCCAGTGAAAAGAGACAAACCAAAATGAGCAGCCGGGAGAGGTCAGTGGAGCAGTGATGGAGGGAGCCAGGCACCAGCTCCAGGCGCACTCAGCGCCAGCGCCAGGGAAAGCACACAGGAAACACTGCCTTCCGGGCAGCTCACTCGGCGCCCGGGGTTTTTAGTGGGGCCGGTCATGTGGGCACCCTCTGCCTGACTCGCACCCAGACTCCAGACTCCCCGGAGGAAAGCAGGTGTTCAGTGTAAGTCACACTGTTTGCAAACACCCCTATGGTTAGCCACAGCAAGCCCCCTCTTCCCAGCTCTGGGAACAGGGGGACCCACTAGAAATGCAAGTTCCCAGCAGCCAGTCAAAGGCCAGCCTTGGACCCAGCCCTCAGGCCTGCTGTGTGCTCTTGTCTGCTCAGATATAGACACACACACACATGTGCAGATGGACACAGATGAACCCATCTTCATCTCGTCACGAGCCATTTTTCCAATTCCACCCCTGCCCCATGCCCACGAGGAACAACCATTATCATCAGTTCCTTGCCTTTCCAGGGTTTTTTAATCCTTCTCCTCTCTTCCTCTCCCCTCTCCCCCACTTTGTTCCTCGCTTGTCTCCTCTTGTGGAGTTCCTTCTACCCTCCTATAGGGGCAGTCTCTCTTCCTCCCAGCCAGAACGCCTTCACTGTCTGGCTAATCCACGCTTTATGGATGCATCCCTCTGTTGATGGACAGCTGGGTTATTTCTATCTCTGGTATCACCAGCAGCACTGCAGTGACTAACCTTGAACCTGTGGA